GCCTCGGCCTCCCAAAGTGCTGGGATTACAGGCTTGAGCCACCGCGCCCGGCAATTTTTATGTTTTTTGTAGAGACGAGGTCTCACTGTGTTGCCTAGGCTGGTCTTGAACTCCTGTGCTCAAGCGATCTTCCCACCTTGGTCTCCCAAAATGCTGGATTACAGGTGTGAACCATCACATCTGGCCTTAAATTATCTATTTTGAGGCCATTTCTGAATATTCCACCAGAGATGGAATTACAATTATCTTTTTACTTATTTGTCATAAGTAATCCTCCACGTCAAAAGAGAAAAACTTACATTTTTCTGTTTTAAAAATGATGCCCTTTTTTTTTTTTTTGTCTTGCCTGCCAGGAAAATAAAGGCTATATTTAATATGTAATTGTGGTAACTAATTTAACACAGACACTAGGCGTTTTCTAAAAAAAATTCTGAAAGCTTTTTAAAATTGTTTGCTTCTGTTATGTTACTTTATATCTAAATACAATAACCTGCCATTTGCGGTGGCTCATGCCTGTAATTCCAACACTTTGGGAGGCTGAGGTGGGCAAATTGCCTGAGGCCAGGAGTTCAAGACCAGCCTGGCCAACATGGTAAAATCCCATCTATACTAAAAATACAAAAATTAACCAGGCGTGGTGGTGGGTGCCTGTAATCCCAGCTACTTGGGAGGCTGAGGCAGGAGAATTGCTTGAACCTGGGAAGTGGAGGTTGCAGTGAGCTGAGACCACACCACTGCACTCCAAATAAATAAATAAATACAATAACTTTGTGTCCTTTTCAGAAGTAAATGAGGGCATAAACAGTGATTTGTAGGGTGTCACTCTGGTTGCAAATTTAAAATTTACTTAATAAAAGGGAGTAAATTTGTTTTCCTTCCCATTCTCTGCTGTAGGTGATGTGGCAGGAATTGGCTGGGAGAGAACCGAGGGGACGCCACCTCCTCCAGGACAGCCAGCCAAGGGCCGGGTGTACTTCACGTACTGTGGGCAGCGCCTCTCACCTCATCTTGAAGACGTCTCTGGTGGCATGTGGCCAGTGGTTCACATTCAGAAAAAGGCAGGTTACCTTGTTGGGAAAGGAAAACAAATTCTCCTTCATCATGTGTTCCTCTTAGAAATGGAAAAATGAAAGGAACCAAACGTGCCCTCATCGTACATAATATTGGTACACAAAAGACAAAGGAAGGGCAGAGCCAGCCTGAGCCAGTGTGTGCCTTCCTTTATGTTGACCCCACAGTCTTAGATTGAACAATACTCTATCAGGAACATAGTGTTTCATTGCTTTGGCATCCTTTTAGCAACTTTTCCCGGACAACAATGCAAGGAACACTAGAGTTCTTTCAAATGTCAGTAAAATGATTCTGTGATCAAGTAAATTTTGAAAGTGATTCTCTTTGGTTGCTCAGTATATCAAAAATTTGGAGAGATCCTTCAGTAAAGATTCGTAAGTTCAACTTAGTTCACCGCATCCCCACACATATTTAATGATGGAACTCTTGTTTCTTAAGGAGCATCTATTAATATCCAATGTTCTGGAACGTTACTTACTACTTGCTGGTAGCTCCCAAATCCATTATGTCTCTCCCAGACCTTTCCCTAAACTATGCTCACATACCCAGCAGCCTGGGCAGCATCTCTAAAGAGATGCCTTATTGGCATGTCAAAGTTAACATGACCAAGACTGAGGCTACCTCTGCCCCAAACCCAAAGCTGCCACTTCCCCAGTCTTCTTCATCTCAGGAAATGGCAGCTACATGCTCACAGTTGCTAAGGCCAAAAACCTTGATATTCTTGACTCCTCTTTTTTCTCCTGCTCCACATTCAACCTGTCAGCATATCTTGGTTCTAACCTTCAAAATGTATCTTGAATCTGACCAGTTCTCCAATTCCTCCCTCAATAACTGGGCTCTGCCACCGTCCTCCCTTGGGTAGCTCATCACAGTGTTCTAACTCCTCTCCCAGCCCCTATTCTTGCCTGTTCACACGTATTGTCTTTTTTTTTTCTTCAGGACATCTCTAA